TAATTTCTGAATGGAATAGTAAGGCCTGGCCAGGCTAAACCTCTATTCAAAAGGCCACAGTCACAGGCAAAGGAAGCGTTAGGGTGCCACGTGGACATTTACAGTGAATCATTTCACACACCTCATTATTGGCACTTGTCTACATTGGCACTTGTCTACGCCTGATAGACTCAGGGCTTTGCAAGGAGTGGAGTGGTTGAGCTATTTTTATAAAGGGGGAAGGAAGAAATATCTTTCCATAGGTTCCCATAGGTGTTTGTATTTTCTGTTCCTAAAAGTACTGAGGACATGGGAGAGCTGAGCAATGAGCAGTTAGACAGTCCATCTAGGCTGGCAGCCAAGACACATTTAAATAAAATGAAAAGAGTGTTCAGCATATGCGTAACGGACTTGTTTTCTTTTAGTGTGACTGTCCGAGGCTAATGGGATAGAATGCGGTTTACAAATCAGGAAAAAAAGATTGTGGCAGGCTGGGGCTTCACAAATAAATACCTGGAGCCTTCAAAACTTCAGAGTCCTCGGAATCCCTGAGTCCAGTCCTGCAGGATAGCAAACCCTGGTGTAGTGGGTAAAGTAAAAGTCAGGCTTCATGATGGATGGGGTAAATTGTCTTCTACCACCTAGGTCCATCCCCTGGTGCTCTTAACCACTTGACCTTTCAGATCTAATGTGTCATGAGGAGGGAAGAAAAAGCTTCAGATCAGAAAAGCTTATGGTTGGGTTTCAGGTTGTATTTAAAAACTTTTATGGGGTCATCTCCACATTTCTCATACTCCTTTGGGCAGCGGAGTTTACTTTTTGTTACAGAAGACAAGAGAGGTGCGGACAGTCTGAGACAGGGGATGATTTCCAAAGCATTTAAATTTGGCTTGGGAATGTCTGGGTATGTGTGTCGTGTAGAGCAATAACATAACATGTTTTGAGAACTGACTTCAATTAAAATAAAGGAACAACATTAGAGATGTGATGAAGCTGTTCAGTTGTCTCAGCCTAAATTGTTCTTGATTCCTATGTAACGCTCTCCATCTGGAGGCTGACCATCGCCTCTTCTGAACAAATGCATGGTGCCAACTTAAGTAGACATGACCTTTTTTAGCCCTTATTGGGGAGATGATTGAGTATGGGAGTTCCCAAGAGTCTGTGTTCAAGAGGACTCCAAAATGAAAATAATTAGCAAGGCTGCTGATCAATAAAGTGTCTAGGGGTGTTTTTAGAGTAATTAAGGAGATGTCAATCAAATTGAAAGCAAAATTTACCACTGAGGATAATCCAGTGTTGACCATACAAACAAATATAGTCCTGATTCCACTTTATAATGCTTGCTAAAAGTACATTCTTTTTATCTGAATATAAGAGGGTCAGATAAGCTTTCAGGAATCCAGAAGAAAGCTACTGACCAATGGGTTCATTTAATAAGTCCTAAAGGGTCACCTGTTTTGCTGCATTATCAAACCTGCCTTAAGAAAATAGATTTTCGCTAAAGGTGATATAAAAATTACCCTCTGTAAACTCACACCCCCGCAAAAACAAAAAAGGAATCCTTCAAAAATAACTAGAAGATTTAGGTGTAGTTTTCTTACACTTCATACGATTTTTGGGATGGCCAAACCGAAGGATCTGGTTGCCATGGAGGGAGCCCTACCTTAGGAGACAAGTAGAAATATAGATGAGCCTTCTGGGTTCACTGATGATGTTCCTGACAGTGAAGCTCAGGAGGAATGAAGATTCCCACCTTGCATGTGTTTAAACTTATTTACCTGGAGGGAAGAACTCTGATATTTGACTCTTAAAACTGTAGTTGCAGAGTGTAGAGAGTCCTCTAGCTCTCACTACACCCTTGTCAGGCTTAGGGTCTTGGTGACCAGTTATCAGGGACTGCTGTTACTTTGAAAGGGGAGCAGCTGCCAATAAGTCAGCTCCCTGCTTGGCCTGTAGACTGGAAGCCTTCTTCCTCCAAGGGCAGAATCTACTCTGAATGAATCCAGGGGCATGTGCTGAAGAGGGTGCTCCCAATGAGGTTTGATTTGAAAACAAATGGTATTAAAAAACATATGACAGCAGAAATTTGTCACCAATCTCCCGTTGCTCCTTTTCTATTGACGCACAATTTCTCTCCCTCTGATTGACCAGGACACAGCCCATCACTAACGTCCCTGAGCAGAACAACTCTGCTCTCCAGAATATCTTGAGTTTCCTACAGAGGAACTCCTAGCTGTGATGGGAATGAAGACTAAGAAACCTTACTCTGCAGACGCAAGGAGATTTTAGGGGCTAATTAGGGGAATAAGTTGGTAGAAACAGCAAGAGTTCCCATGCAAAAATAGCTCCTTCCTTGTTTCTAAAACACTATTTCTCAAGATTAGTTTTATAACACTAAGTCAGGGAAGGGTCTCTAATTATCTCAAGGCTTATTATAAGATCTCCACAGGACAGTTTCAATTCACTTTAAGTGCCATGGAGTACTTTTAGGAAAGACAGGGATGATGTTGTAAAATCTAACCACAGTATGCCAACAAATCCCACAAAGGCCTCGTGGTAATCACTACCTCTGCACGTGTGTGTGTGTGTGTGTGTGTATGTGTGTGTGTGTGTGTGTGTGTGTACACCCACACAAACCCACACAGACACTTCTTGGGGCCAAGTTTTCCTACACAGCCTCACTGATCAATTAGAGCTCAGTCTCAGTCTGGTGAAGGGGTCCGAGGTAATCAGAAATGGACCTGGTTGGTGGAGGGGAGTGAGAAGGATGTTCTGTGGACTATTTCAGAGCTAGTAGGTAGATTGTGAGCCAGAGCTGCTCTTCAGTTCGCCGGGCTGCCTTGCACAGGACAATGAAAAGAGTTCTGGAGAGATGAGAGGAAGCGAGTGAGAAGAGAGTCTTTCATTTCCAGGGAAGCCTGAGTTCTCTGGGAGCTAATAGGGGGAGCAGCTGTTGCTGACATGTCTTTCAACAGGGGTGAGGGGAAAGATGTAGCACCATGACTGGTGGGGAACAACAAAGCCCAGACAAAGCCAGGGCCACATCTGGCTCACTCAGCTGGCCAAAGTCAGGTCAGTCCAAAGCTCTAGTCAGTCCAGTGAGGGATTTTGTTCTAACATGGCTACCACTCTTTACTGTAACGTTCTAACACATTGCATCATCACGTAACCTAACATAACACTGAAATATGTATTGCCGGGGAAGCTGCATTTAGCAAGTGCAAAGTGGAAATTGCCGCGATAAGGAACTATGCTTGGGGATGTGCGCGTACCTGTAGGCTGTACTTGCTAAGTAAATTACATCTAGTCATGTGTTTCAAAACTGAGTCAATATGGCATGATCTATTCTAACAGAACGCCCAACGTACTCAATATCACAGCATCATGCAAAGCCATTAAAAGAAAAATAAATGTTTCTTAAGCCTTAACCTAATTTTCATGTCCTGGAGTGGGCAAGAGACACTTGGAGATCTACTGGAAACCAGCCGTGCCAGGGTCCGAGTTGCCTCATACATCTACCTGTACCAGACGTGTCTGCGAGCAGTGTGTCTACGCCTGACTACATGTGCATGGCCTGTGGGGCACCCTGACAATTCTCCCTGAGCCTTTTCTCGGCTTCCTTTTTCTCTGACCCCATCTGCTGGTATTCTCGTCTCAAGCCAGCTCAGAGCTTGGCACAGGGAGAAGACCCTGGGGTGGGGTTGGGAACACGTAGGGCCCTTGCCACAAACACAAAATAATGGCATCACCATGACCACCACCATCGTCATCACATCTTTTAAAACTATATATTTTTTTCCTTTTGTAAGCCATGCTCCTAAACTGCCACAATACCACAGAACACGTTTCACGTTCTATTCTATTGTCCCAGATACAAGCACTGGGGTAGGCAAGTGGCCTAATCTGGCCTGCTTGGGCAAACAACAGAGAACAAGGGGTCAACTCTGGTTGTTGACTCTGTGGTTCCCTCTGGGAGAACTGGCCAGGCCAACGTGGGGAATGACCATCATCAGCTGCTTTGCGGGCATATCACCAAATAAGATGAAGCTGTATCTGTGGGTCCCCACGTGACAAAGCTCAGGGCTTGATCCACCTGGGCTGGCCAGTTCTCAGGAAGTTGCTGACATTACCTTCCCCACCAGTAGTCCAGGTGTGGGGTAGTTAGGATAGTGGCTTCTAGTGTGGGGGGCCTAAAGTAATATTATATAGTCTATCCGTTTTCAAGCATCTCTCTAGAGGATTATGGGAAGCTGGAGCAACTCAAATCAAAAGGCTGGGGCCTGCCTGAACACTTTGTTCTAAGGGAAATGTCAATTCTAGGAGAAGCTTTTTGAGATGGGAACCAAAAATGTCTTGGTCCCCACTGTGGTCTTTCTCATCTTCATTCTGGAAGGACCACTCTCTGAATGCATTCTAGCTTGCTGATTGCTTCTGAAATGTCATTGAGGAACAAAGCAAAGACTTGTGTTTAGGAGAATACATGAGTCACTGTCATGAAAAACATCTGAGAAACTGCTGCAACCCCTCAGGGTTTCTTACGGCTGTTCCTCATCAACTCACAGCAAGGATACTAATAATTAAATCTGCAAATGGAATAATAGTGATCTCATAACAAGCTGAATAAGAAGCTGATTGTTGTGAAGGCAGTTACCATATCACAAATCGCTGGTGTTCACGTTAAATAGGGTCACCACTTGGTGGTTGGCTGAAGGTGCTTCTTCTTCTTCTTTTTTTTTTTCTTTTTCTATTTTGGGTAGAAATATTCCTGGGAGGCTAGACAGAAATGCATCTAATTTAGTTATAATTCTTAGGCACAAGTTAGAAAACTGCTGACTATCATTAAAATATATCAGCACTTAGCGTTATAAAAAAATGCAATTCAGGACAGCTGCAAGGATATCTGTATACACGTCTAGAGATACACACGTGTCGGTGTGGTACATACACGAGGGTCTATTCCAAATCGAACTGTTTGTAACTAACCTGAAATATTGCAGTGAAAGTTCACCTTAGTAGGACAATCAGTCATCAGAGCTTTCTGTCTTTTGGCTCTAACTATAGTAAAAAAAAAAAAAAAAAGTTTGCACGCCAGACTACAAGGGTTACACTTTGCGAGGACATCGGAGGGCCAAGACCAAAAACTTCTTAGACTGAAATGAGAAGAGCACGCCGTCTAGGCCATGGGAATGCCACTACCAAGCATGCAGACAATAACAGACCTCAGGTATCACCTACTCATGTTAATACTCTCTTAGGATGAAAACTCTCAGGGGATCCGAGAAGCTGGGGGGCATATGAAGACTGAAACTGTCATCTCGGAGCCGTGCTCATCTTGGCTGGCGATGGAGGCCCCGAGGAAGAGCGGTAAATGGGGGACGTGGGGGAGAGTTTAATTGGGCTGGTGGGGTCCCCAGTTTGGAGTTTCCAAAGCAGCTCCTCATTGGTTCTACTTAACCGCTTCTTCTCCTTTGTTTCTTTTTCCACATACTCCTGAAGGTTAGCATTTTCCTCTGACAACTGTCTGGATAGGGCAAATAATAATACATTAAAAAAACATAAGAATACAAACAATAATAATAAAAAGCAGTAACACTAACATTTACAAAGGCAGCTAGGTGGTGCAGTGGGGAGTGCTGGGCCTGGAGTGAGAAAGATTTATCTTCCTGAGTTCAAATCTGGCTTCAGACACTTACTAGCTGTGTGACCCTGGACAAGTCACTTAACCCTGTGTGCCTCAGTTTCCTCATCTGTAAAATGAGCTAGAGAAGGAAAAGCAAAACACTGAGGTATCTCTGCCAAGAAAACTCCAAATGGGGTCACAAAAAAGTGTACACAATTGAACAACAACAACAACAAAACATTACCCATCAATCATATAACCAAAGATCAACTTGAGATCCTCCATGCTAGTGGAAGGGGGAGAAGAGAGAGCATGGCAAGGGGAAACACAGATAATCCAAAGCCACAAATTCTCTAACATTTTTCTTGAAACATTAGCTTTTGTTTCCTCCTTTCTAGCTTCTTCCTAGACCCACTGACAAAGTAGGTTGATGAAGTCTAGAATCACCCTTCACATTGATGCTCTTGCTTCCCTACATCAGCAGAGCTGCTAATCACTTACCTAATTAGAGACAATAATAATAGCAGCTTCCAGTGGCTCCATTGATTTAGTGCCTGTCTTCCCCAGAACTCAAGTGGCTTTTTGTGGGTCTTCAGATTTATTTTTACATCAGGGTTGGGAGGGGCAGGCAGCACACATATTTTATAGAGGGTGATACTGGAACTACCCAAGTGACCACAGGTGAGCCTGTGTGGGCTGAAACCTGGGTAGGCAAGAGGACTACCAGAGCCTTCTTCCTCAAAATAGAAAGAAATACTTCTTGGCTCTTCTGAGGGTGAACGGGCACACTGTGGCTTCTCATGGGCTTCCAGCTAGAAGGTGACCCTGCACCCAAGAGGGCCTAAGCCCTGTTTCTCCAGGTACATGAAAGAAAATACAAAAACCATCACCAGACTTGCCCTGGGTATCTGTCAGTCTCAAATGACAAGAAGGACCCTGTAGTTCCCCGACAGATTCCCAACTCAGGCTCCTTTGCCAGATTTACTTAGGACTGGGGAGGAAATTCTGGTGTTGAGGGAAGTCCACGAGAGATGGGAGAGGAGGGTTCCAGGTTGGGGTGGGAGCTCTGGGACACAGCCCAGACTCTCCCAGCTGGCCCATCAGCACACAAAGGGCTGAGCAGCATGAACTGGGACTCTGAAGTATCTATCCGGGCCAAGGCAACACCCAAGAGTGGGTGGGAAGAGGGTGGAGGCCATTTGGGAAAGGAGGCAGTAAGTGCTCTAATTTGAATAGGGGAGGAGCTCAGAGGGTTGTACAACAACATTCTGGTGCACTCCCTCTTACATTCCACCCCTAGGCCTCTCCTAAGGAACTGTGCTCCAGGACTGTTTCCATGCCCTTGAGCCAAATGCCCCATCCTAGTAATCTTGAACCAGTATTAACTCTGGCCTGCATGGAGAGCTGCAAATTTGCCCTGTTCCCCTCAGCAGGGCTTGCTCCATCCCTCCTCTCCATTCTCAAAGTGCTCTGGTTCCAACTTGAGATTTGCGAAACCAACCTGGCACAATGGAGAGTGAGGGATTTAGAATCCAGAGGCCCTGGGTTCCAATCCCAGCACTGCTCCTTACTTTCAGGATGGAAAATGTTCAGATGGGAAAAGGCAAGAACCAGGCTAAGAGATGGCCTCCTCATGGAGGAGTTCTCCCAGCCTGGTCAGGGAGGATTGAGGGGGGAATAGGGAGCAAGTAGCAGATCCCTAAAGCTAATTGAAAGAGATGAAGAAGCAAGTTGGTGGATAACCAGCATTTATTAAGCACCTACTGCATGCCAGGCACTGTGCTCTGGGCTGGGGAGACAAAGATAAAAACCTAACCTGCTCCAAACTTTAATGAGCAGGAGATTAGAGATTCTCAAACCTACACACCTCGTGACAACAGTGTTCTGGTCAATTCTTGCTTTGAGGTCTTCATTTTGCTGTTGGAGCACTTGGATTTTTTCTTCTAGGATAATATTCTTTTCAGCCTGTAAAGAATGAAAAGTTTGTGAGTTCACTGCAAGGCCACGGTACAGGTCAGGGCCCGTGCCCTGGACTCTGTGTTTTCCAGGACCACTTAGTACCCAGAACTCTAGGTCAGAACCCTTATGCAGTCAGGCCTTGCTGCTCTGCCCCGGTTCAGGTAAGCTCTCTGCTTACCTTGTGACAGCTGGGTGGGGCCATGGTCAGAGTGTGGCAGGACCATTTGGGACAGCAGAGCTCAGTTTGTATTTTCAGTCCCCTGATCTGGGCCTCATGAGGGCTCAGCAGGGGAAATGCCCTGCATTTCCAAAGGCCAGGTTCGCTGGGTTTACAGCTCCTCCTCCCTTTAGAGGTATAGACACGGGTTGTTTTCCCAATGTCAGGTAAGCACTGCCAAGACCCTGGACAATTCACCATTCTGGGCTAACTGAAGAGGATATAATTTATAACAATGTAGATAGAATTCTGCTCTTTGGTCAACAGCTACCATTGACACTGAGATGCCAAAGCCACTTCAGAAAGTTTTCCGAAAACAGCACCATCTCATTGCCATTGAATTATACCTAACTCATTCATTAATGAATATACCTAATTCATTCATTAACCCATACTACTCACTGACAGTGCATTTTAGTGATTGTGAGACCTATCTGACCTGTAGGGTTTGTGCTCTAGTGGAAAGAACATCCGAAGACCAAAGACCTGGGTTCTTGCCCCAGATTTGACACCATGTGACCTTGGGCAATTCATAACCTCACTGGGTCCCCGTTTCCCAACTATAAGATAAGACAGGCTAGTTCCTTTCAAGGTTGAATATTCCATAATTTTCAACTAGTTATATTCTAAGATGGTAATGAATACAGGCAGTGTGGTACCATGGAAAGAAAGCACTGGATTTGGAGTCAGAGGGCCTGGGTTCAAATCTCAACTTTGTTTCTTACTACCTGTGTGACCTTTGGTAAGTCATTTAAACTCTCTGGATCTCTGTCTCCACATTTATCAGTGAGGGAGTTGAACTAGGGATTAGGTCCCTAGTGTCTTTTAGTTCTAAATCTGTGATGCTATAATTCTATGAGATTGAATCAATAACTAAGGTGACCTGAAGTCTTGGGCCAATGTGGTTTTGTGAAGAGACCAGAGTTACTAGTCATGTGATCATGGGCAAGTGTCTAGAGTTTTCTGAACCTCAGTTTTCTCACCTGTGAAGTGGGGCTAATAACGGTATTACCTACTTCACAGAGTTATTGTGAAGATAAAAATGGATATAAAGTACTTCATAAACCAAGTCTATCTTCAAAATACTATGTCACACAAACAAAAAATTGCGTCAGCTATGAGTATCACATATTCAGAAGTGGTAATGAGTGGTAATGTATACACAAATAGGCAAGTAACATCTATGAATCCAAGTTATTGTTATTCCCATGTCTAAAATAATTTTCTCAAAGGACTGAAAAATCATTATTAATATTGTTCATATATTTAAAAATGTCCCTTTTATATAACATGGCTTAAGAATCAGTCAAAGGGCTTGGCATCTGTCCCCACTACTCAATAGAGATCAAGCATTTATTAAGCACCTACTTTGTACCAGGCACTGTGCTAAGCATTTTTATAAATATTATCTCATTTGATCTTTACAACAACCTTGCAAGATAGGTGCTTTTACTATCCCCATTTCACAGTTGAGAAAACTGAGGCAGATGGCAGTTAAGTGACTTACCCAGGGTCACACTGCTAGTAAGTGTATGAGGCTGAATTTGAACTCAGTCTTCCTGACTCTAGGCATTACCTAGTCAGCTAATGGGTGACCCTGCCTAAGGTTGCAGGATCCCTTTCTGCTAGGAGAGGTTCCTGGGATAATTAGTTAAGAACTCCTGCAAGATGGACAAGAGAAGCTAGAGACACTTGTCAGTACATATCCCACCCCGTCCCTTCCAGGGAAACATATAGGCTGCCGCAAGACTCAAGGGTGAGAGGGTCATTTGCACAGAACAGGCTGTTATGGCAGTCAAAAAAAAGACTGGGAGTCTCTGTGCTGTCTTTGCTGCCTCATCAATCATATCTCCCCTCCTCCACAGAAATGAGTTAACCTTTCCTGTTGTGGCTCAGACTTGTAGTCAAGAAACCTCCTGTGATTATTTAAACGTGGTTGGCCTACCTGGTTCCATGTTTGAGACTCCCTTATCCCTTCCCGGCTTTAGGTGTAGCAGGGATCCTGTGAGAGGGACCCATAAAAAAAAGCTGGAAGTCCTAGTAGGGAGATAGGCTCTGTAGGCTTTGGAATTGGGCAAGATTTGCTCCTGGAACAACTAAACTGTAGTCTATTCGTGAGGCAGGGTGACATGGGGAAAACTACACTAAAGTAGAAAAAGTAGGATTTAAAGAAAGGGGGAGTTTGGATGGAGGCAGGTGACCTCCATCCCAGCTGGTACTTAAGGAAAGTATTGGAGTTTTTAACTGAAGCTACCACAATTTTCTCCATAGACAGAGATCCATGGCTTCACAAAAATCATTGAAGGAAAGAATTCAAAGTTGGAAAGGACCTCAGTGGTCATCTAGCTCTTTGCTGTTGTCCAATCAGTTCAATCGTGTCCAACTTTTCATGACTCTATTTGGGGTTTTCTTGGCAGAGATACTGGGCGTGGTTTGCCATTTCCTTCTCCAGCTCATTTTACAGATGAGGAAACTGAGGCAAACAGGGTATAATGACTTGTCCAGGGTCACACAGTTAGTAAATTTCTGACTCCAGGCCTGGGACTCTATCCACTAGGTCACCTAGCTACCCCTCATCTAGCCCTACCCGGAGATGAAAGGAAATCCCACTATAACATATTAATGGAATGCTTGTCTAACTTCTGCTCGGATGCACTGCACGGGGGACCGTCTCACATTGAACATGCTACAGCAATCCTTCCTCTGTCCCAGGTTAGAAGAGTTGTAGAAAATTCAGAGGCTGCTATTGAGATTTTCTCAATGGTCTTGAACGAAATAAATTATTGCATTGGTGGAGAAAAATTATCTGCAGCTAAAGTGACCATCAAGTCACTGTCAAAAATGTCCCTAACTCAATCTGGATTGGAGTCTATTTGAAAGCAGCCTGCTAGATGATTTGAAAAATGTAATTAAACAAGTGACTTTATAAGATAAAGGGTCTGTGAGCTGATTGTACAGATTTCCTCTGTGTCACTAGAATCCTTAAAAGGGCATACCAGTGATGGATTGATAACCCAGCTCATTATATGCTAGTCATAGCCACCTGTATAGAAATGGTGACATTACTGGCATACACTCATCATGGACAATATCTTTCCCAAGAAGGAGGGACTAATCAAATTTCTCTTTTCTTTTTTTTTTTTAATTTTTGGAGGCAGTCAGGGTTAAGTGACTTGCTCAATGTTCCACAGCTAGTAGGTGTCTGAAACTGGATTTCAATTCAGGTCCTCCTGACTCCGGGACCAGTATTCTATTCACTGCTCCACCTAGCTGCTGCCTCCCTCAAATTTCTGACACTATGTCTTGAAGGTCTAAGAACTTCAAGGGTGGGAGATGGGTGCTGACCTCCCAGAGCTGCCCACCTTTGGATAATTCTCATTGTTAGAAAGTTTTTCCTAGGAGGCAGTTGGTGGTGTAGTGGATAGAGCACCAGGCCCGAAGCCAGGAAGACCGGAGTTCAAAGCCAGCCCCTGATTCTTACTAGCTGTGTGACCCTGGACATGTCATTTGACCTTTGTTTGCCCCAGTTTCCTCAACTATAAAACAGGGATAATAATAGTACCTACTGCACAGGGTTGCTGTGAGGATCAAAAAAGAGAATATTTGTAAAAGACACTTATCCTCTTCCCTTCTTCTGACATTAGGACAACATTTGTCTCTTTGTAAATTTCCCCCACTCACTTCTGGTTCTGCCCTTGGGTACAGACAGAACAAATCTAATCCATCTTCCCCTTGAGGATCCTTGAAGTACCCGAAGACAGCTGTCAGCTCACACTCCCCCCTCCCCTTAGTCTTCTCTTTTCAAGGCTAAAAAACCCCAGTTTCTTCAACTACTCCTCTTCTGGCAGACTCAAGGCCCTTCGGCATTCGGGATGCCCTCCTCTGGACACTGTAGCTTATCAATGTCCTTCTTATCCGGCGGTGGCCAGAACTGAAAGTAATGCTCTGCATGATGTCTGATAAGGGCAGAGTCAAGAGGATCACAGCATTTTCCTACTTCTGGAAGCTATGCCCTTCTTAAGATAACCCGAGCGCATTGTTTCTGTGGCTGCCCCATCACGCTACTACTGACTGCCTCCCCCTAAACCCATAGAGTTGTTTCCAAACAACTGCGGCATGACCATGTGTCCCTGAGCTGTCCTTGTGAAGGTGATTTTCGAACCAGAAGATCCCCAGAGCTGAAAAACACCATAGAAACAGGGAGACTTAATTTCCTTAGGACAGCACCGCTGTCCAGAATTTTTTGCCTAATACCGCTAGATGACGATGCAACGAAGACCACAGAAAATGGAAGGAGGCAGGCTCGCCCAGCTAGAGGGAACTGACCAGCTTTTCCAGCTCGATAATCTTCTTTTCCTGTTGGTGAATTTGTTGATTCTTCATCTCCAGGACTTGCTTCAGACTGTTCATGTCTTCTTCCAAGTGCTGGTAGGGAGCCAGCGCTACCTACAGAAGCCAGGAACAGAAGCAACGTCACTGCTATGGTTCTTGGAAACGTGGGTCATCATGGATCCAGCAAATCCCCAGCCTTCCATGGGAAGGTTTCCCACGGGGACTAGCTAGGGACTGGACTTGGGATTTCACTGGGGGAGGGAATTCCTGAGTGAGGAAACTGCCTCTACCAGGATGGGTTGGCATCTTCTCTTTAGCTCACAGTTCTAGACATGGCCTACAGCAGTGGTATCAAACTCAAATACAGATGATGGCCACTAATCCATACATAAGGATCCCTGTGGCCTGAATAGAAGTGTTAAACAGGAATGGTATGGGGGCAGTGGATAGAGCACCGGCCCTGGAGTCAGGAGGACCTGAGTTCAAATCCAGCCTCAGACACTTGACATTAGCTATGTGACCCTGGGAAAGTCACTTAATGCTGACTGCCTCAAAAAAAAAGGGGGGGGGGGAATGGTATCTTCCTTTTATTGTATTCTTATTTATTTTGTTAAATATTTCATAACTGAATTTTAATATGGTTCCTGGAGCACTGCTGACCAACCTCTGGCCTAGAGGTTAAGTGACTTACCCAGGGTCACACAGCCAGTATGTATCGGAGATGAGACTCAAACCCAGGTATTCCTGGCTACAAGGTCAGATCTGCATTAACTAAGCTACTTCAGCATATCTGTGTGGGCACAGAGATACAGAAGAAGTGACGTATGTATTCCTGACTCTCCCCTTTGGAAAATCTTAAGGCAAATGCCTATTGCTCTACTGGAAATAAGACAGAGGGTCACAGGATCATAGATATGGAGTTGGTAGGAACCACAGAGGCAAACAAATCCAACTACCTCCTTTCATAGATGAGGAAGTTGAGGCCCAGAGAGATTAGGTGACCTGCCAATAGTCACCCAGCTAGTAAATATCAGAGATGGGATTTGAACTCAAATCTTGTGCACTCTAAGTCTAGCACGCTTTCTATTTCACCATGTTGCCTCTCAAGCAACTGTATGGCTAATGGAAATTACTTTGTAAATTCATTCATTCATTCATCCATCCAACAAGCATTTATCGAATGCCTACTATGTGCTCAGCACTAGCGGCACAAAGACAGGCATGAAGGAATCCCTAACCTAAAAAAATATACATGATATTATGGGGGAAAAAACATATACACCGAAAAGTAAGGAACAGGGACCAGACCTTTCATTTCATTGGTCTGGACAAACTCCCAGGTGAGAATAGTCTATGCACTTTTCTCGCTGGTACCTTCTCTGGCTCAGAGCACTGCCTCCAGCAGTGGTGTCAAACTCAAATAGAATTGGGGGCCACCAATCTGCACATAAGGATCCATGATGCTCCATAATGACTCAGTTTTAAAATGCAATGCTATCTAGGTTTTATTGTGTCTTCATTTATTTTGTTAAATAGTTTACAATTACATTTTAATCCAGGTCTGCCATTTTCAGGAGTGTTGCTCTGGCTATTAGCCACCTGTGGCCTAGAGCACAGGGAGGCTAGCTATCTGTCCAGGACCATGGAGCCAGGAAGGCCTGGAACCCAGACTTTCTCTGTTTTGAGGTCTTCTCTACCCATTATCTAAAGCACCATGCTGCCCTTTCCAGAAAAGTAAATATGAAGTAATTTCTGGTGTGGGAGCAGGGAGGGCCCTAGTAACCAGGGAGGAAATGGTTGAGTTTTATAAATGACTTACAAAATTCAAGAAGCAACTCTTTTGAAACAGAGCGTGTAGATAATATGACTTAAGCAAGTACCATGGCTTCTTCAGTGGCTAATCTTTCCCTCTGAACAGGAGAAGTTGCTTGTTTTGTCTTGCTGGGTTTGACTGATAGCCACTGCCTTAAGCTCTATGTATGTGAAAGGCTGCATTGTAAGGGACAGTTACCTGTTAGCATCCTTTTTCTCTTGTCAGAAATGCGATCTCATTCTATGGTTCTCCTTCCCATGCTCCAGATTCCAGGCAGACTAACCTGATTCCTGCTGCTCCCTCTAAACCACGCCCCACCTCCTATCTCTGTGTTTTTGCACAATCTATATGCTTTCTTTTTTAAATTTAAGTTTTTCAAAACAATTCTGAACTTGACATTAAATACAATGAACATTTCCTTATGCAAAGGAGAATGGGAAAAGAGGACTGTGCAGGAGGCCGCAGACCTCCTCCATCCCATAAGCCCCCATAAGCCTTTGAAGCCGAGCTCGAATGCTGCCCCTCACCTCTCCTGACCTCCTCCGCTGCTTTGTGCCCCCACCCTCACCCCGGGCATTGCTCCTGGTCTCTTGCCTACTGAGGGCACCACCAGCTTTCGAGTCGCCCACACTCCCAATCTCAGCGTCATCCTCAACTCTTCCTCCCATCCAGCAGAATCCACAGCATTCTTGCATTCATCCATCCTTCTCTCTGCTCAAGCAGCCAGCATCCTACTTCAGGCCCTCATCCCCTTTCATGGAGACCATCATAACAGCTTCCCGGCTGGCTTCCCCCCTTAAGTTGCTCCCCTCTGCAACCCATCCTCCACAGAGCTGCCTAAGCCATGTTCTGCAAGCACAGGTCTATGCCACTCCCTTGGTGAAGGATCTCCTGTGGCTCCCTATTACCTCTAGGATAACCTTTAGGTCAAAATACAAACTCTGCTGTAGGGCATTTAAAGGCCTTCGCAACTGGGCTCCAACCTACTTTTCTAGGCTTAATATACATCACTCTCCTTCATGCACTCTATGATTCAACCAAACTGGCCTCCTTGTTGCTGCTCCTATGTGACTTTTCATCTCCCCTCTTCACACCTCTGCACAGACTTTCCCTTATGCCTGGAATGCATTCAGTCCTCACATCTCTGCCTAGGAGTCCCTAGCTTCCTTCAAAGCTGAGCTCAAACAAGACTTCCTCCATGAGATCTTTCCTGACCGGGCCAGCCTCCTTTTCCATCCTTCCCCCATTAGCTTGTACTTGGTGCATACTTTGCATATTAAAGGCCCAGTGATCTCCCCACCCCGACCCCTATTCAAGGTAAGCTCCTGGAGTCCTTCCTTGGGACATCACCTCCCATTTACTCTGCACTTTTCTTATTAAGAACAGAGTTGTTTGCATGCTGTCTTCTCCATTGCAAAATGAATTACTGAAGGGTAAGGATCTAGGATCCCTGGGGATCAGGGATTTTTGTCTTTCTTTGTACCTTCAGCCTTAGCATAGTGCCAGGCACACAATAAGAGCTTAATAAATGCTTATTAGCTCACTGACTTGAGAGCAAGGACAACTGCATTCTGGTATTTGTATCCCCAGTGCCCAACCCAGTGCCTTGCACACAGTAGGTATTTAAGAAATGCCTGATGATGGATTGCATTGTAAATATTTTGCATACTTTTTTTGTTTACTTATTTTTGTCTCTCTAAAAGAATGCAAAACATATATAACCCATTTCAAATCATTTTCCATTTTAGGGAGTGGGGAAGAGAGGGAGGGAGGGAGAAATATTTGGAATTCAAAAAATTTAAAAACATGAATGTTAAAAAATTGTCTTTATGTGTAACTGGAAAAAAATAAAATAATACTAAAAATTTTAAAAACCCTCCTATTTGTCTCTGTATCCCCAGCATCTGGTATAATCCCTGGCTCATAGAAGGCACTCATTAAACGCTCATCAAATGAATGCATGACCCTACAAAGAAAGATTCAGAGATCATCCCAAACAGGATCTTGCCCACAGAGATGTTCAGTCTGCCTCCCTGCCCGTGAACAGAACACACACACAGTGAATGCAATAAAAACCATCCCTTGCTTTTAATGCTCAATCAGCACACAGCAGGAAAGCCATCCTTATGCAGGTGCTACCTGACCCAGATGAAGAAACCATGATTATGAAATTAGATAGTAACAAAGAGAGAAAGTTTCAAGAAAAACAGGCATTTAAAAAAGTGGAACACAAGAAAATTTTCCTGATTTCCTAACAAAGTGGCCCCAAACTTACCTGCGCATTTGCCAAGCGTGGCTTTCTTGTCCCACTCTCAGCCAGAAGTGGGTGGAGAGGGGCATGGGAGCATGTGGGCATGGGGGCAGGACATACCCAGGAGATGGGGGATAGGCACAAGCAGAGCCCCAGACACTCTCCTGACTGCCACAGAAACTTAATGGCATGGGATGGGTAGGTGGGTGGATTGTGGCAAGGCTGACACAGAGACAGAGACATAGCTGACAAGCATTCCTGAGGACAGGGCTACCTAAGTTTAGAGAACTTGTAGGGTCAGGACTAGCTGGCGCTTTTACCAGGAATGAACTCAGTCTTTTTCTTTAGTGAAAATAGAGGCTCTGGGGACTGCTCACAGGAGATGGGAGGCGGGGCCAGCCTGGGGGAAGAGGAACGGAATTTGCCCTTCCACTGCCCATGGGGGCCTCCACGAGGGTCTGGGCACTGGAGGACTGCTGATTACCTCCAGCTGCTCCTCCGTGCTTCTTCTCAAAGCCTCCTCGAATCGTTTAGCCCGATCCCGCAGAGAATGGCTCTGGAATGTGAGGGTGTCAACCTGGTCCTGCAATGAGCAAGGGAGAAGAGGTGGGGAAAGGTTAGCTGAGACTCGGGGGACAGGGCCACGGCCAGCAAACATAGCTTAGTGGAGGTGGCCCGATGGAGATGTCACTGGTGGGCCTTCTGGAAATAATGATACATACCGTGGGTATGTGTGCTTTAGGTAACACCGGAACTACTTTTTGTGAGAAGCGGGTTGTGCGGTCAGTGAATTGCTATATGTATCACATGAACTTTTATCCTGAGGCAGTGTGATCAGTTCTGAGAGGTGGAGACAATAAAGGGCTGGGCTTGGAGTCAAGGAGATCTGGGTTCAATGACTGATTCTGACATAAGCTGAGCGACCCTATGCAAGTCAATTAGCCAGTAGGAGCCTTAGTTTCCTCGTCTGAAACTAGGTGGCATATCGTGGATAGAGTTCTGGTCTTGGCCTCGCAGATCGAGGCTAGAAGGGACCTCAAAGATCATACGGTCCAATTTCCTCATTTTATCTAGGAGGAAACCGAGGCCCAGAGACTTTAAGTGATTTGCCCAAGATAGTAAGGGTCAAAGGTAGGATCTGATTCTAGACCCAGAGCTCTTACTATGCTGCCTCAAGAAGATCTGGGTTCAGATCCTATCCGATGTGATTCTGGGCAATCCACTTAGCTTTTCTCAGCTTCACTTTTTTTCATCTGTAAAATGGGACAACAGTGCCTCCCTTACAGGGTTGCTATATCAAATAAGATTATTGAGGGAAAGCACTTTATAAACTTTATAGAAATGTGAGCCTTCATCATGATTATTATTCATATTACAAAAACAGAGTCCAAAAAAGGATGTCTGTCTGTCTGTCTCTTTCATGCCCTTTTCTGAAGGTTAAAGATAGAATCTATGAGAATTCTTCCTCCCCAACCAGAGGTACCCAATCTGAGAAGCTGTCTACTACAGTGTCATGTAGTACAATACAAGGACTACAATAAACATTTATAGGTGATGAAAATCACCTTTCATGGGGCCAAGTACAATCTCCCTGATTCAGCAGCATCCTATTGCTCTAACCCGATTGCAGAGGACAATGCCAGCCTGGAGTCTGAGGGAGCACCCGGCTTCTTTCTGGCACTGGAGGCTGCGGTCTCTACCTCTGCAGCATCACAGGAGACACCCTGCACACACCGTCTGTCTAGGCGCCTACTGCGAGGCGCGGCTGCCTCAGACAGATCCGAGAATCCGTCCTCGTTTTAAAGCCCTTCGGGAAGGGAGACGTGAGAGCCTCGCTTGGTGACTCATTCCACCGTGGGGCAATCTTCACCATCTGGGGAAATTCATGCCCAGATCTCTTGGTGACTACACGATTGCTATAATAATAACTACAGTAACAACGACAACAATAACAAAAACGACAATTATAAATAGCTCACATTCAGATAGTAATTTAAGGCTCCGCAAAACTACCGACATTCTCTCCTGTGACCTCACAACATCTCAGGGAGCTGGCTAGCTACTGTTGTTATCATTCCCATGATACAGAAGAAACTGAGGCTCAGTGGACTTTCTAGACTCACAGCAAATAAGCCCGTGAAGAAAAATTTCAATTGTGACTGGTCCTATGTGCTCTCCCCCATCCTGGGCTGCCTTAGAATAAAAATAGTCCATGGTGACACTGAACTTCACTGTTCACAAGGCTTTTTTCCTCCCAATAGCCCTGTAAAGTAGGGAGCACAAGTGCCCTCATTCCCATTTTACAGATGAGCAAACTAAAACTCGGAGCAGTGAACTTTGCTGTCTGAGGCCCAGTGCTGATACCAACCGTTGGGACCTGGATTCAAAGCCAGATCGTCTAATCCCAAGGTCAGTTCTCTTCCTGGGATGTCATGCTACTGAGGATTATGGGTATAGAAACGGAAAGGACCTCAGAGGTCGTCTAGGCCATTGCATAGATGGCGAAACTGAGGATCAGGAAGGTGGTTGTTGTTGTTCAGCTGTTTCAGTTGTGACGGACGCTTCGTGACCCCATTTGGGTTTTATTGGCAGAGATACTGGAGTGGTTTGCCATTTCCTTCTCCAGCTCATTTTATGGATGAGGAAAAGGAACAGGGAATATTCAGGTGAAAATTACTCCCCATTTTCCCCAGGCTCTCTGGGGAACTTCAGGAAACCTGACATACACTCCACCCCCACACCCCATGCTTAGCTCTACACAGTATCGAGGCTGTTGTACACCCTTGGAAAGGAGAAACAGGTGAGATGGCTTCCCCACCCCTGGGCCCTAGCCTTTCACTTAAAAACTTGTGCTCAGCCCTAAGTTAAAAAATAAAGGGACAGAGGTGTTCCCACTGATTTTCTTGGCACCACCGATAAGCCGAGAGAGGGTTTTGCTGTACAGAACACTAGAGATCCTAGGTCTAAACACTCTGCCTGTTTCAGTTTATCTCTGCTCCTGCTTCAGAATGGCAGCTGAGCAGGGCTTGGTGACCTTCCTTGGAGTGCCAAATGCCCTCTAGGCCCAGAAAGATAGCATATGCATTCTGGCTCCAACAGACACACTGTGTCTTCTTTTCTTGTTTCCTTCCATTAATTCCATTTCATTTTCCACAATAAAAGTCCCACAAGGGTATTCAATGCAAATGCAAACACATTAATGCAATATTATTGTCAATAGGATTTTGCTGCACACCTGAACTGGGAAATGTAAATCAAGCCCCACGGCAACTATGACTGGCCCCCCAGTGCACGTAAATTATCACGCTGCTACCTTCTCAAATATGACTCTAAAACTGTCTGTTCTCTCCATGTGACTCCAGCATTAAACTTACTGAGGGTAGACAAAGGAAGAGCATTTTTCCCCCAAAGGCTCATCTCACACTTCATCTGAGACGTTAGGATGGGATCTTTCTGCCTCGGCCCCCATTTTCTAGCCCACACCTGGGAAGTTGCCAAAGCATCAGTAAGATAGAATGGCCTCCAGCGGCTACTCTACAGGGGTTTTCTGAGCCAATAAAGAAGACAAGTGTGTGAACTCCCCCATCTAGCTACCAGGTTACCCCAGGCCTCTTTACTCCATGGGTCGGGGTAAGCTATGGTCCTTGTTACTACTCTCAGGGTCTGCTTGAGGAGAGTGAAGGCGGGCACAGCAAGTGTCTTATCAAAACTTGGTATCTTTCTTAGCACCAATGGTGGTGTTCTGCACACAGTAGGTATTTAATAAGTGGTTGCTGAATTTCACAACAAATAATCTCCAATTCTGAGAGGTCAATTTAGGTCCAACATTGACAGATTTTTAAATTAAAATACAGGAAGTTTCCAATTTTTTTTGCCCTAATGGTAGAAGTCAGGTGTCATAGACAACGCAAAATAATTTCTATTTGTGTTTTGATGTGCTGGTTAGTTGTTTGTCAGACAACAGATCCATCTTCCTAATTAAAGTCTGACTCGAGCTAATATTCAAATTAGTCTGTGTTCCCTGAGGACAAACACTAGTGGAGGGCTGATACTGACCAGAGGAGTGTTAGATGGGGGAGGAGCCGGGAGCAGTTTGGGATTAATCCATTTTCCCAAGATAATCCACAAATTGGATAGTTTACTGTAGAGACACGTTATGGAATCGGAAGGTGAATCAGCAGGCAATTTGCTGGAGCAGTTTCTCATTTTAGGATTTGTCAGTATCAGTGCATCTGACGGCAGATGATGCTGACTCTTTCCATGATCCTGCATTTATCTCTGGCCAGGACAGCCAACATAATTTTTTTTTTCACCAATGAAAATCAACAATGGAAAATAATCCACTTATTTCCTAATAATAACTTTTTGACAATAGCTGGGATTTATAGTGCAGTGAGGCTTTGCAATTTACTTGGCACACATTATTTCGTAGGATCTTTATAACAGCTAGGTGAGGTGGGTGCTTCAGGTGGTATTACTTCCATTTTACAGATGAGGAAACTGAGGCTCAGAGAAGTTAAGTGACTTGCAAGTCTGCGAGGAGACAGGATCTGAACTCTGGCAGAGTGGAAGGCCAATTAGTTCTTGAGTCAGAGGACCTAGGTTCAAATCCTACCCCTGATGCTAAATATTTATGTGGCTTCAGGCAAGTCCCATCAATTCACTGGTTTTGTTCCCTCATCTGAAAAATGAAGGGCTGGGAAGAGGTGGTCCCTTCCAGCTCTTGATCTCTGATCCTATGAGACCAGGTCTCTTTTGACTCTAAGGTTATTAGCATTCTTTCTACCACACCACATTCATGTGGAGAAAAAGGAGAAAATGCTATCTATGCATTACGGTTACAGTAAAAATAAAATTCTAAGACTTGGGTGTACCTTTTTTGGGGGGGAGGAGAAGATGGAGTCCTAATTTCATTTATGTAGGGAATTCCTGGATTTGATATGGCCTCCACTGATGCAGATCAGAAACTTAAGAATCATAGAAAGTTTATTGGGGCCCAGAGAGGCTAAGTGATTTGTCTAGAGTCACACACTTTATAAATAAACTTGTTCTGACTCAGCTTCCCACATATAAAAATAGTAATCGTTAGCTAATTCTTATATAGACCCTGCTATGTGCCAGGGCCTAGAGTCAGGAAGACTCATCTTCCTGAGTTTAAATCCAGCCTCAGACACTTACTAGCTGTGTGACCCTGGGCAAGTCACTTAACCCTGTTTGCCTCAGTTTCCTCATCTGTAAAATGAGCTGGAGAAGGAAAAGGTAAACCACTGTAGTAACTTTGCCAAGAAAACCCCAAATGGGATCACGAAGAGTTGGACAGGACTGAAATGACTGAACAACAACAAAACTATGTGCCAGGAACTGTGCTAAGCACTTTACAAATATTATCTCATTTGATTCTCACAACAACCTTGTGAGGTCTAGATGCTGTTATTATCTCTATTTTGCAGATGAGAAAACTGAGAGAGACAGAGGTTAAGTGACTTGCCCAGGGCCATACAGCTAGTAAGTGTCAGAGGTTAAATTTGAATTCAGGTCTTCCAGACTCCAGGCCTGATGTTCTTTCCAGCTGTCCCCCCGGCTGTCCCACTTAGTAACAGGAAGGGGGACACCACCCTAATGGGAGTTCCACCGACAGTTCCCTCATGATCGACATGCTTTCCCTACAGTACTCATTTAGGAGATGCACTGAGCCTGTATCTCTGGAAGGCAGGGGACTGGAAAAGCATGTGGCCACCAAACCCTGCTTCTTCCCTCCAGGAGCAAATCAGGCAGCATAGCTGAGTATGTCAGCACAGCATCAGAGGACTTCAAGCTGGAAGAGGTCTTGGAGAACAACTGGTCCAACTAACACTCCTTTTTTGTGGATGAAGTCACGCTTTTTCAGTTGGGCCCTAGGACGTGGACCTTTGGCCCCTGGGAGGGGGGCAGAGCTGAAGACTCAGGGCCTCTTCTGCCTCTTTCCCCTTTCGTTTACTCGCTATAATAAAGTATGCTTTTTGCTTAACTGTCACAGCTGGCCCTAAACAATGCAGCCTAAAAAAATCATTCTATTAAACAGCTCACAACTGAGCTTTCCTTCTTTGCTGAGCATACAGGAGAGGCGTGGGAAATAACAGGAAAAGCAACTATCTGGGCCAGAAAGGGAGGACAGCCTTGGCCAACTGTGTTGGTCTCAGCAGGGCTAGGTGTCAGGAGGCAGCGGGCATTCTGAGCCGCTGCTGATTCAGTGAGTAGCTATGAGCAATGAGGGGAATATATCTCCAAACTGCAAACACCTATGGCAGGGGCCAGCAGGGAATAAGAAGCCTGCTAGAGGTAATGAAGCAAAACCGTAACCCTCTTAAAAGGTTCTCACAGCAAAACCCTTTTCTTATTTGCTGTGTGATACTCTTGGTTTTTCTCCCACCTCTCTGACCGTCTCTACTCTGGTGTCCTCCTCCTCCTTCTTCCCCCCAGCTAAGTGTGGCATCCTTAAAGCTCTGTCCGCAGGCCTCTTACGTTTTCTTTCTCAAATTCGTCTCCCTTGGCTCTGGGAGATCTTGTCTATTCTCACAGCTCCAATAATCCCCTCTAGACTACTAGCTCCCTCGTCTCTATCTCTAGCGCCATCTTTCCCACTGCCAACTAGACATTTCATCAGATCACAGAATTTCATAGGTGGAGCAACCTCGGTGGCCAGCTAATACAACATATATACCCAAAGAAGTCTATGTTCAACGTACCTGGCAAGTGACCATCCAGTTCTTTGCTCGAAGATAACCAGTGATGGGGAGACTCTCTACCTCCCGAGAAGTCCGGTTCATTTAAAACTGTTGTACTATACACTTCAAACTCGCCCCATCTAAACCAAACACATCTCCGCCACTAAGTTGGCTCCCTCTCCATATCTCCCCATGTCTAGCATGCTCCAGTCACTCAGGCTTAAAACATCTGGTTCATCCTTGACTCTTTTCTTTCCTCCTTCTTCAATATCCACTTAATCATTAGTTCCTACCGACTTTTTCTTTCTTTAGGATTACTAATCTAGAACTAGATGGGTCATTAGAGGCAATATAGTTTAACCCAGGTATGGGGAACTTGTGGCCTTGAGGTTACATGTGGCCCTCTAGGTCCTCAAGTATGGTCCTTTGACTGAGTCCGACTTTTACAGAACAAATCCTTTTATTATGGGGATTTGTTCTGTGAAGTCTGGATTCAGTCAGAGGACCACACTTCAGGACCTAGAAGGCCACACATGTCCTTGAGGCCACAGGTCCCCCACCCCTGGTTTAACAGCTTCATTTTATAGATGAAGAAAATGAGGCCCAGGTCCACAAAATGAGGTCCACTACCAGTAAGTCAGCAGAGTCTGGATTTGAACTCAAGTATTTTGATTCCAAACCCTTTACCACTGCTATCATCTGGGCCAGTTTCTAATCAATTCAGGACTAGCGCAGTAGTGTCCTAATTAATTCTCTGCTTCCAGTCTCCCCTGTCCAGTCCATTCTACACTATATAGTGCTGCCAGATTAATCTTATAGAGATATCAATTTTTGTCCTTCTATATAGTTTATGACTCCTCATTGCCCATAGAATAAAGCTGACATTTTTTAACCTATCATTTGGGGTCTTTCACAGTTGGACTCCTACTTATCCCTCTAACTTAATCTGGCCACACTCCTCCTCTTCTATCACTCCCACAGACAATGCCAAATTGTTCACTATTCTCATCATGCCCTGAACTCTTCTTGAGCACTTTCACATTCAGAAATCACGTCTTCCTCTGAATGCCCCTAACACTTACTGCTTATTCTACAACACTTAGCATTTAGCATATGCTATGTATGATCCCATTCGTCTCCCACCCGTTCTATTTTCCCAAGTCGGATACAAGTTCCTTGAAGGGAAAGGGCTTATGCCTCTTTGTATCTTCTTTGCCTAGCACAGTGCCCTATATCCTGTCGATGCTCACTGAATGTTTGATGATGGTAATGATGCTGACACTTCCCCAGCTGCAGTAAGTAGATAATGAAAGTATTAACCTGGAGCGACAACCGCAGTTTTTCAAAACCGTCTTCCAATTCCTTCTTTTCAAGCTCATGGGCAGACATCAGTTCTAGGGAGAAGAAAAAAACACATTGTTAAATTGTTCTCCTGCCCAATATTGACAGAAACCATAAGAGTAAGGGTAGCTTCTTCCTCACTCAGGTGAGGACAACAGTGACTATAGGCAAGTGAGTCCAGTATTCATGAGAATTAGGGTACCGAGTGCCTGGCTCGGGGCACAGGGTCACAATATTGGAAGGGACCACTATACAGGTGAGGAAACAAAGGTCAGAGATTTGCCCCAAGTCACAAGGGTAGGTAGAGGTCAACTGACTTGCACAAAGTCCCAGTAGTAGAACAGGGATTCAAATCCAGGACCACTCTTTCCACTGTGCCTTGCTGCTTCTATTTCCATAAATTTACATATCATTACTGAGTTGTGACTTGCCTTTGCAATGCCATTGCCTTCAACAAGAGGTCATCTGACAGCTGTCCTCTGAAGGAAGAGAAGCAAACTTCTAGCATTCACTATCATAGTCAGAGTTGACCCAGTTCTCAAGTCTTTCCTTACAATGGACTAGTCACATGGCTTAGCTTTTCTTCCCCAGTTTCTAATTCCCTTTTTCTTCCTGGGTTAGAATAACTCCAAAGAATGACTCTTCTCAAAACACTGAAAGACATCAGCGCTCTGATCATTACAGTAATCATTCAGAGGACCAGCAGTAAAGCATACCTCCCTCCCCTTAGTAGAGAGGTGATGGATTTTAAGTACAGGATGATGCATATTTTATCAGATATGGCCAATATATTGGCTTGCTAAACTATTTCTTTGTTACAAAGGAAAGTTCTAGAGGTTGTTATTGGTTGATGGGTGGGATAGTGATCTCATTTATTAAGGAACAAAAGAAAAAAAATCCTCCAGTTCAGAAAAAGGGATTGTTCTAAGGTCAGAGAGGCCAGAAAACAGAGGGATGGATAGGACCGCAAAGTGTGTCATCACCCTACTCAAGCAAAGATTCAATTTTAAGATGCTTCCACCAGGGGAAAGGACCAGCTGAACCCTCTTTATAGTGTTTGGAACAATTGTTCTCAGTGGGCCAGTGTCAACACAGTAATAATTTGTAGAAGCTGGGCAAAAAGTAATGTCATGTAAGTGTGATTAAGAAGATGGGCAGTCATTTTCCTCCAGACAGGAAGAGTCTCATTAGTCAGGGTTAAGCCTTTCTCATTCTGACTATGCAAGCAATTTGTTTTCATGTTCTAACTGATGAGAGGAAAGCTCTCATTAATCAGTCCAGACCCTATGCTCAGAGCAGACTACTGCCTGGGAGCAGCTATTAATTACATTTCTTCCTAGCATGGTCTGCAATTAGGAAGAACTGTGAGGTTTTACATGAATCCACATATTCTGACTAAAGCTGGAGGAAGTCCTGTGTCCAGAAGAGAAGTCACAAAATGCACTGGAAAGTGGATTTACATTTGGGGAAAAAAAAATCATCTATCATCAGAGCTCTCCTCAGCATGTTTCACAGAAATCCCTTTCTTGTATTTGGAAACAGGCATTGAGAAGTATCATCAACTCCCAAATGACAGATTGTAGCTAAAATCATGCATGTTGACTTGACACCATATATAATTTAATAGCTTTGGACAAGGCGACAGAGGAAAGAACCTTCATTAGTCACAATGGAGCTGTTGGGCTTCCACATACTGGGGCCCATCAAACAAGGGCCATCCAAACGAAAAGCCAGAAACAAATAAGCTGTAGTCAGGCTCATCACATTGTTCCAAATTTGTCTTTTCAGAAAACCACTTCATAACAAGACATTTTCAAATGAATTCAAAGCCCCTTCTGAAAAGAAAATTCCATGTCGACACCTGAAAATCTTTAACCCAATACCAAGTACTTGTGTCTTCTTTGGTGTTGTTCTGTGTTTGGGTGCTGTAGCGTACCACTTCATCACCTAACATGGCATTCTGACACACTATTTCTGCCTCTCAGTTGCTGTTCTTCCACTCCATAGCGAGTATGTCTAAAACAGAGATTTCCCTTCCTAGTGCTTGCCCACTGAGAACAATTGTTCGAAACACTATAAAGAAGGTTCAGCTGGTCCTTTCCCCTGGTGGAAGCATCTTAAAATTGAATCTTTGCTTGAGTAGGGTGATGACACACTTTGTGGTCCTATCCATCCCTCTGTTTTCTGGCCTCTCTGACCTTAGAACAATCCCTTTTTCTGAACTGGAGGATTTTTTTCTTTTGTTCTTTAATAAATGAGATCACTATCCCACCCATCAACCAATAACAACCTCTAGAACTTTCCTTTGTAACAAAGAAATAGTTTAGCAAGTCAATGTATTGGCCATATCTGATAAGGTATGCATTGTTCTGTACTTAAAAAAAGTGCTTAGAGGAAGGAGGGCACTAGCAGCTGGGAGGACCAGGGCTTTATGCAGAAGATGTTGCTTGAGCTGCATCTTAAAGAAAGTGAGAAGCAGAGGTGAGAAGACAGCGCATTCCAAGCATGGAGACGGCCAGTAAAAAAGCATGGCGGTGGTACATGAAGTGCCGCGTATGAGAAACAGAGCGCACAGTCTGGCTAGATCACTGAAACGGGAGGGGAAGTAATGTCCAATGGTGTTAAAAAGATAGGTTGGCTCTGGGTTGCATAGCGCTTAAAAGCTAAACATAAATGTGTATATTAACTTAGAAGTCAGAGGAAGAGACTACCATTGATTGAACTTGCAAGGTCATAGACAAGTTTAACAAAAACAACTTTAGCAGCAGTGTGAAGGACAGGCTAGGGAGACCATCTAGGAGGCTGTTATAAGAATAGAGGCAAGAGGTGACGAGGGTCCGAACTAAGGTAGTAACCGTATGAGTAGAGATATGGGCTTGGGTATGAGAGGTTATGACGATGAAAAGGGTAAGATTCGGAAACTGATTGGCTGAGGGAGAACCAGAAGTTTAGGATAATCCCTAGGTTATAAATGTGGGTGCCTTTCATCCAGAGATAGGGAACTGTGAAAGAGGAAAGGGTTTGGATAGAAAGATGAGTTAAGTTTTTAACATGTTGATTTTGAGGTGTTTCCTAGACATCTAGGATAAAATATCTGATAGGCAATTGGTGATGTGGTACTAAAGCTGATATGAATAAAAATGATAGTTAAATTCATGGGAGAGGATGATGATGAAGAGATGATGATGATGATGATGATGAGAGAGAGACAGAGACAGAGACAGAGACAGAGAGACAGAGAGAGGAAAGGGCCTAGGATAGAAGCTTGGGAACACCCACATTTAGGGAGTATAATATGGCTGATAAGCCAGTCAGCAAAAAAGACGGAGGAGTGGTCAGGCGGGTAGAATAACCAAGACAGTGGTGCCACAAAAACCCAGAAAGGAAGTATCCAGGAGGAGTGGTTGGTCAACCATGGCAAATGTAGAAGCCAGGTCAAGAAGGATTAGAACAAAGAGAAGACCATCAGATTTGACAATAAGGACATCTTTGGAGAAGCAGTTTCAGTTGAGCGACGAACTCGTTAAGTCAAATTGCAGAGTTGAGGAGTGAATGAGAGGAAGGAGAGGCAACAAGTGAAAACAACTTTTCCAAGGAATTTGGCTGAGAAAACGAGAAGAGATATAAGGTAGTAATTTGAAAGGATGGCTGGATCGAGTGAAAGTATTTTAAGAATAGGGGAGACCTGGGCATGTTTGAAAACAGTAAAGAAGTACCTAGGAGATGGGGAGAGGATGAAGATTAGAGAGATGGGATATGATTGGTGATGTGATCTACTGGAGAAGACGGGAGGGATGGGAGCAAGTGAACATGGAGAGGGGTTGGTCTGGCATAAAGGGCCATTTCTGTCAGAGACTGGGAGAAAGGGAGTGGAAAGAGGAAGCTCATATCAAATGCTCTCAAATTTCTCAGTAAAGTAAGAGGCAAGGTTCTCAGCTGAAAGATGGTGAGGCATTTGGGAAGACAAGTTTTGAACTATCTCTTGAGGAAAATGAGATAAGGAATAAATTAGGAGGAGTAAAAAGACTTCCCTGTTGCAGTTAGGGCTCAGTTGAGGTTAGATAACATGAATTTGTAATGTACTAGTCAGCAGGGTTGTGAGATTTCCCTAAGTAGCATTCAGTGGCTCATGAAAAGAAATGGAGAAGGCAGATGGTGGAAGTAATCCACAGCTGTGTTTTGGTAGATGAGTGGTAACAGGGCAAGAAGGCAAGGGATTTAAGATCAGAGGACAATGTAAAGTTGAAATGCCTAACAATTGGGACGAATCTGATTAGGGAGGAAAGTGAAGTTAGAACAGGGGTAATTACCTGAGAAAGTACTGAGGGATGGAGGGCTTGGAGATCTTGATGAAGATAAAAAATAGGGTTAGGTGGTATGAGGCATATGAGGAGGTGGAATGATAGGAGGTTATAGTCAAATAGGGGAATATCACAGTTTCTAATTGAGAAATGGAAACCAAGTTAAGTCAAATGAATAAGTCTTTATTAAGTATTTACTTAAGTACTTAAGTACTTATTAAGCATTTACAGGAACTATTCTAAATGCTAGGGATACAAATACAAGCAAAAAAGAAAGCTAGTCTTTGTTTTAAAAGAGATTGCATTCTAATGGAGGAGTTGAAAATGGGGAGAATGAAAGATGACTGATTTTAGGCCCTTCCTCAAAAAGGAGGTTTCAGGGTGAACTCACCAGTGGAAGAAGAGGAATGGAGGGAGAAGGCAGCTGAAGCATGGTGATGACAGGGCACAGTGGTGGATCACTTGTGGGTAAGGGTGAAATTCATGTGTGACCCTCCTTCCATAGGAAGTGCCCTCCTTCCTATGGTTGAGGTGGGGTAAAGGAGTAGGTCATAGGATTTTGGAGGCTGAGGAACTGGGAACTGAGAGAGTTTGAAGGAACATTTTTAAACTACTATCTTCTCTATATCATCGTGGTAAATACCTTTGCTAATAGCATATTAAGACTACTACCTGATAATAAGCAGCGAGCATAATGATGGGGTCTTATGAGTTAAGTACTAACCACAAAGAGATCAAAGAAAGAGGCAAAG